TAACTCCCTACCTACACTCACCTTTCCTGGCCCCATCCCCGCCTCTTCGACCTGTTTGTTTCCTCTCCACCTATCCTCTCCTCTATCCCTCTTCTATCCGCCTCCCACTCTCTCCCTATTTATTTCAAAACCCCCTTCCCCTCCCCCTTTTCTGATGAAGGGTCTAGGCCCGAAACGTCAGCCTCCCTGCTCCTATGATGCTGCTTGGCCTGCTGTGTTCATCCAGCCCTGCACCTTGTTGTCTAAGGGTATTATTGCTAAGTTTGCAGATGACACAAAGAAAGGTGGAGGGACAGGTAGTGTTGAGGAAACAGGAGACCGCAGAAGGCCTCAGACAAGTAGGAAAGTGGGTAAAGATGTGGCAGTTAGAATACAATGTGGGAAAATGTGAGGTTATACACTTTGGTAAGGAAAATAGAGGCTTGGACTATTTTTTAAATGGGGAAAGTCTTCAGAAATCTGAAGCACAAAGGGGCTTCGGAGTCCCAGTTCAGCATTCTTTTAAGGTTAACATGCAGGTTCAGTTGGCAGTTAGAAAGGCAAATGCAACGTTAGACTTGGGTTTGAGAGGGCTAGAATACAAGGGATGTGCTGCTGAGGCTGTATAAAGGCCGCATTTAGAATATTTTGAGCAGTTTTTAACCCCATATGTAAGGAAGGATGTGCTGGTTTTGCAGGGGGTCCAAAGCAAGTTTACAAGAATGAGATAGTAGGAACTGCAGATGCTGGAGAATCTGGGATAACAAGGTGTAGAGCTGGATGAACACAGCAGGCCAAGCAGCATCAGAGGGGCAGGAAAGCTGACGTTTCGGGCCTAGACCCTTCTTCAGAAATGGGGCATTTCTGAAGAAGGGTCTAGGCCTGAAACGTCAGCTTTCCTGCTGTGTTCATCCAGCTCTACACCTTGTTATCTCTTTCACAAGAATGATCCCAGAATGAAGAGTTTGTCATATGAAGAGCAGTTGAGGACTCTGGGTTTCTACTTGATGGAGTTTAGGAGGATGAGGGACGATCTCATTGAAACTGAAATAATACTGAGAGTCTTAGATAGAGAGGATGTGGAGAAGATGTTTCCACTAGTAGGAGAGACTGGGACCTGAGGGAACAGCCACAGAATGAAGGGATGACCCCTTAGAATTGAGATGAGGAGAAATTTCTTCAGAGGGTGCTGAATCTGTGCAAGTCGTGAAGGCCAAGTCTTTGAGTTTCTTTAAGCAGAGATTGATAGGTTCTTGATTAGTAAGGGGATCAAGGGTTACAGGGAAAAAACAGGAGAATGGACTTGTGAAACTTATCAGCCATGATCAAATGGTGGAGTGGACTCAATGGGCCCAGTGGCCTAATTGTACTCTTATAACTTTTGGTTTTACAGAGAAAGCAGGAGATTGGCACTAGGCAATGATACTCATTTAACGTGCTGGTGCAGGCACAATAGACTGAATGGTCTCCTGCACAGTAACAATACTATAAATCTGTGATGAATGTACTGGTTATACTGGTCATTTTGGAGTATACAAGACAAGTCAGACCAGTACATCTTATTCACAGGTTTAACTGATTTTTCCTTCTAGGGAAAGATGAGTTCAGAATGTTACTAGGAGGCAGGAACTACCCACAGAGTACAATCAGCAAAAGGAGATGACAGTCCAGATGGGGCCTGCTGCTGCCATTTAGAAGAGAATAGGCAGCACCTCAAAGGGCCAATAGCCTCACCACACACAAAAATTACCATTTGATGCAATGAGTGGTAGGGCATGCCATCTCCCAGTTTCTGAGACTTTTCATCAAAAAGTCATAACCTTCACCGTGCATTGAATCTGACAGTGGTATACTAACATTCATCAATTGGACTTGCCAGTTTAAAATTATTTTCTTGCCTTCTGCAGCCCATTAACAGACTTCTTAAGAAGAATAGTGTGCCATCTCTTTGGAAATTACATCCCATTCTGGAAGCGGCAGAAATCACCTCCTCTTCCTGGAATGTGCTTTTTAAATCACACCCACATCTATTCTCAACCCCGAGGACATTTGAAAATTCAGTGATATGACTGTTGGTTCTTGACTCCTCAGCCAGGGATAATGGCTACCATTATCAGATAATTTCTCACTGTATATTGTTCAAATACATGAAAGGGCCTTAGGCTGTCACTTTTGGTGAGAAGTACCCAATCTATTTCAGATAGCCCTGAAAGGATAAGGTATTTCAAAGGTTTAAGCAACAGGTGAAGCTCATTGCCTCATGCTGCTACTATGCAGAAGCAATGAATGGTATTCACCACTAATAGGATGCTGCTGTTAAGCCAAAAACACTTTCTGCCTATTGTATAGATGGGTAAAGTGGTATAAGACTTCCAGTGCTGGTGTGATGTTAGGTATTTTGGCATACGCCCCAAAACTGGTGATCCCATCAAATAACTTATCGCTTCTGCTGTCCACAACAAGGTACTGACTATGTGCAGCCAGCCTGGGCTTGCAAAGCTGACACCACAGTGGCCAGTATTAGATGTGATTCTGTGATTAGAAAACATTTCCTAAAGAACCCTGAGCATGTGAAGAATTATGTTCGCAAACAATTTGATTGTTGGGTTCGTGGTTTAACACATTTGTGGAAGCTACATGTATTAATACACAGGGCCTGTTCTTTGCAGACAGAAAAAACAAATACTCGCACTGCATCTGTTTCAACTCAACAAAATAGGTTTCCTCCATTCGTTGTTCATTTCTCAGGTTAATGCACCGACTAATCAGATTCAACCTGCCTGGTTAAAAATGTAAACAAAACTTGGATGTTAACTGTCATGAACAGGTGATTCTCTACAGTAAAGCCTGTATTAATTAGAGTCCACTTACTAACGAGTCGGGACTCTTTAATATCGTGTAAATGTTGTTTTCGCATTACTTTGTTAGTTCTTGGAAAAGGACCCCTAATGCATGCAAGTTGAAAAGCTTTGATAAAATGTTTTTTTTAGAAATACTGCAGTCCTGAATTACCAAATGACCAGTTGTAAGTGTTTTACCACATGTTTTTCTGCAGGGCATGTTTTCTGAAGGTCTTATGCATGGTAGAGGCACTTACACATGGAAGAATGGAATAAAGTATGAAGTAAGCAAACAGCAAAACACATCAGTGTTATCAGCTTTTACAAACTGATTTAAAATACATTGATCAGCATGTAGAGATATAATGAGATTAGCAAAAGGTGAAAATGTTTCTGTAGATGAGATACAACACTGTAATTGCTGCAAAATCTTCTTGCTTTATGTAAACTGTGTTGCTCTTGATTTAGTGTTGAGTTTTGGTGCTATCAAATCATAATCAGACCTTTTTGGTGTGATACAGAATACAGTTCTTGAACTGTTAAAGGAAAAGAGATTTTATATTTATTCTTTGAGGATTTAAGGATGTTTTAACCAATGAAATATATTTGTCTCTGGGGATTCAAGTTCCACCCCAGGCTGCAACTCCCAGTACAGTATTTTGGGAGTTCTGTAATGTCGTACGTGCCTTTTCCCAGAGAGACATTTATCAAAGGCACTACCATCTTAGGTGGATGCAAATGCACCCATGACCACTATATCAATGAAGAGCAGCTGAATTCTCCTCCCATGTTCTAACCAATATTTATCCCTCCACTGACATTATTAAAGCAGAATCTTTATCCGTCATACTGATGTTTGTGGGACCTTGTGTGTAACTCAGGTGCTGTACTTTCTAAATTACAACACTGATTATACTTAAAGTGCACTACCTTGTTGTACAACATTTTGGAATATGACAAGGCCATCAGTGGTCTTATATAGATATATGTTTTACTTTAGTCTTTACAGGATGGTCATGACTGGGAGTTAAATATCCAGGGGTATCAAACTGTTCAGAAGGACAGACAGGATGGTAAGGGAGGTGGTGTTGCTCTGATTTTTAAGGATGATATCAGGGTGGTAGTGAGAGATGATATAGGTTCTACTGAACAAAACATTGAATCCATTTGGGTGGAAATTAGAAATAGCAGGGAGAAGAAGTCACTGATAGGTGTGGTCTATAGGCCACCAAATAATGACATCGTGATGGGGCGGGCAATAAACATAGAAATAGCTAATGCATATAAAAATGGTACAGCAATTATCATGGGGGATTTTATTCTACATATCGATTGGTCAAACCAGGTTGGTCATGGCAGCCTTGAGGAGGGATTCATAGAATGCATCCACGATAATTTCCTTGAACATTATATAATGGAACCTACGAGGGAGCAAGCTATCCTAGATCTAGTCCTATGTAATGAGACAGGAATAATTAATGATCTCACAGTTAGGAATCCTCTCGGAAGGAGCAATCACAGTATGGTCGAATTTAAAATACAGATGGAGCGTGAGAAGGTTAAATCCAGTACCTATGTCCTGTGCTTAAACAAAGGAGACTATGAAGGAATGAGGGTGGAGTTAGCTAAGGTAGAATGGGAGCAAAAACTTTACAGTGGGTCAATTGAGGAACAGTGGAGGACTTTGAAAACGATTTTTCACAGTGCTCAGCAGAAGTATATTCCAGTGATAAGGAAGAACTGTAGGAAAAGAGAGAGCCAGCCATGGATGTCTAAGGAAATAAAGGAAAGTATCAGATTGAAAAAAAACTCATACAAAAAAGCAAAGAGTGGGGGAACTAGTAGACTGGGAAATCTTTAAAGGAGAACAGAAAGCCACAAAAGAAGTTATAAAGAAAAGTAAGATAGATTATGAGAGTAAACTAGCTCAGAATATAAAAACAGGCAGCAAAAGTTTCTATAAATATGTAAATTGTAAAAGAGTGGCGAAGGTAAAGATTGGTCCTTTAAAGGATGAGAAGGCTAATTTAATAACTGGGAATGAGGAAATAGCTGAGATATTAAACAGTTATTTCATGTCGGTCTTCACAGTGGAAGACACAAATAACATGCCAAAAACTAATGGCAAGAAGGTTATAGCAGGTGAGGACCTAGAAACTATCATTATCACTAAGGAGGCAGTGCTGGGCAAGCTAATGGGGCTAAAGGTAGACAAGTCTCCTGGCCCTGATGAAATACATCCCAGGGTACTAAAAGAGGTGGTGGGGGAAATAGCAAATGCACAGTAATTATTTACCAAAATTCACTGGACTCTGGGGTGGTTCCCACAGATTGGAAAATAGCCAATGTGACGCCACTGTTTAAAAAATGAAGTAGACAAAAAGCAGGTAACTATAGGCCAGTTAGCTTAACTTCGGTAGTGGGGAAAATGCTTGAATCTATCATTAAGGAAGAAATAGCAAGCCATCTGGATATAAATTGTCCCATTGGGAACATCCAGCATGGGTTCATGAAGGGTAGGTCATGTTGAACTAATTTGGTGGAATTCTTTGAGGACATTACTTGCATGGTGGACAATGGGGAACCTGTGGATGTAGTGTATCTGGATTTCCAGAAGGCATTTGACAAGGTGCCACTCCAAAGACTGCTACATAAGATAAAGTTGCACGGTATTACAGGTAATGTATTGGCATGGATAGAGGATTGGTTGATCAGTAGAAAGCAAAGAGTAGGGGTAAATGGGTGTTTTTCTGGTTGGTGGTCAGTGGCTAGTGGTGTGCCTCAGGGATCAGTGTTGGGACCGCAATTGTTTACAATTTACATAGATGATTTGGAGTTGGGGACTAAGTGTCGTATGTCAAAGTTTGCAGATGACACTAATGTGAGTGGTAGAGCAAAGTGTGCAGAAGACACTGAAAGTCTGCAGAGGGATATAGACAGTCTAAGTGAGTGGGCAAAGGTCTGGCAGATGGAGTACAATGTTGATAAGTGTGAGGTCACCCATTTTGGTAGGAATAACAGCAAAATGGACGATGTTTTAAATGGTAAAAAATTGCAGCACGCTGTTGTGCAGAGGGACTTGGGTGTCCTTGTGCATGAATAGCTAAAAGTAGGATTGCAGGTGCAGCAGGTGATTAAAAAGGCAAATGGAATTTTGTCTGCCATTGCTTGAGGGATGGAGTTTAAAAACAGGGAGGCTATGCTGCAGCTGTATAGGGTCCTGGTGAGGCCACACCTGGAGTACGGTGTGCAGTTTTGGTCTCCTTACTTGAGAAGAGATATACTAGCACTGGAGGCGGTGCAGAGGAGATTCACTCGGTTGATTCCAGAGATGAGAGGGTTGGATTATGAGGAGAGACTGAGTAGACTGGGATTATACTCATTGGAATTCAGAAGAATGAGGGGAGATCTTATAGAAACATATAAGATTATGAAGGGAATAGATAAGGTGAAGGCAGGGAGGTTGTTTCCGCTAGCAGGTGAAACTAGGACTAGAGGGCATCGCCTCAAAATAAGGGGAAGCAGATGTAGGACTGAGGTCGGGAGGAACTTCTTCACCCAAAGAGTTGTGAATCCGTGGAATTCCCTGCCCAGTGAAGCAGTTGAAGCTACCTCGCTGAATGTTTTTAAGGCAAGGCTAGATAAATTTTTGAACAGTAAAGGAATTAAGGGTTATGGTGAGTGGGCGGGTAGGTGGAGCTGAATCTCAAAAAGATCAGCCATGATCTTATTAAATGGCGGGGCAGGCTCGAGGGGCCAGATGGCCTACTCCTGCTCTTGGTTCTTATGTCCTTATGTTCTTATAGTCTTAAAATTAAGATAAATTAGTTGCAAACAAGTAATTTGAAATAAAACACACCTTGGCCTTTTGTATCCATGGTTCTCTCAGTACTAAATAATTAAGATGTCATTTCTTAAACTTAATTTGTTATTCTACAGGGAGACTTTTCAATGAATACCCCTACAGGCCATGGCACCTACACATGGCCTGATGGCAGCACCTATGTTGGTGAGGTTGTAAATGGAATACGCCATGGAAAAGGAATATTCACAAGTACTGACCAATTAATTTCTTACACAGGAGACTGGCACCAAGCCAAAAGACATGGGAAGGTAAGAGCAGACTTTTTGCTGTTTGCTACTGCCTTTTGAGGAAGATTTTCAAAGACACTTTGAGAGAAAAAAAATCTCTTTATCTCTGTATTAAATGAGTGACCCCATTTTAAAAAATCATTTAATAGTGAATTGTTATTGATATTATCAAGTTTAATGACCTCACTTAATGAAGGACTTTTAATTTCAATAAATAACTATGATTAGAGGACTGGATACCACAGGATTACACTACTGCTTTCACCTCTGCAAATTGGGTTTGACTCTAGCCCATAATGATAGAAATAAAGTGTCCGCAATTTGTTGGTATTGAGAATCTATGGAGAAATGGGCTTAGATGGTTTCAGCCTAGTCTGTTGGCTAGTTGTGTACAACTCTGAACTGCCTTTCATTCAGTATTAGCCACCACTAACTTGAAATCAAACCCCACAGATGTCAAGGGAAGACTTTTTATCTGAGACTGTATACACTTTGTGTGCAAATAGACAGCCCAAGCATGGAAATCTGACAAAAAAAAACACAGCATTAAACTTATTTTGTTTTCTCAAGCTTTGAAATGAAGGCCTTCCTTAATTATGTCACAGAACCACTTTCAGCTCGAAGCATATTTCAGCACAAGAGAACAGAGAGACAGGTTTTGCTACATTTGTAATTTACATTTGTCTTTGTACATTGCTGCGATCTTGCTTTCTAGGGCACCGTTTACTTCAATCAAGGAGGGAGCTCATGGTATCAAGGTGACTGGATAAACAATGTCAGGGAAGGCTGGGGTACAAGGCGGCAAGTATATTTTCAAGGACATTAATTTTGTATGCAGGGTTTTGTCAATGTGGTTATTCATTTTATTAAAAAAGTACATTGTATAATAATTTTAGATAGACATTGTAAGTAGCATAGCAAAGTTAGAATTTGATATTTGAATTTTTAAAATTATTGGTAATCGGAAAGAAGTGAGTGAATTAAAAAGAAAAGACCAAAACAATATAAAATCCATGCATTTTTCAAAAAAACTTTAGTATGTTTTCTATAAACCTTATTACCAAGCTTGTGAGCAATATTGAGAATAATTTTCATTACAAGTACAAACAGACGTGAAAGCCTTGGCATATTTTAGTAGGCTGAAAATGCTGAATAGTTACTACTGTTGTCAACTGGGTAGAAATGGTGAAGAAATGAGAGAAGACTGTACCAACTCCACAGACCAGCTAGCTTTCTGTGCTGGTAGATTAATCAAAAATGGTTACACAGAGACCTCTGATGGAAGAAGCAGACTTGATGATTTTGTTTTGAGTGCACTGCAGAATTTGCCCTGATGTTGAGTTAAGTTTAGCAGTTGGAAACTTCCAAGTCGTATTACTTGCCTGTCTGTTACATCAATGCCAAGTATGTATACTTACTACAGAAAAAAACTTCTAACTTTGCAAGAAATTACCAAACATCAGCAGCTCAGGTAGTAGTGAACCTGACTTTCTTTTTCTCTCTCTTTTCAGTCCCTTGATTACTAACTGTAATTAGATAAGATATTTCTGAGGGATCATTTTGTGAAAATATATGGGTTGAAGTTAGAAATAAGAAAGGGATGATCACCTTGATGGGATTGTACTGTAGGCCCCCCAATAGTCAAAGGGAAATTGAGAAGTAAACTACTACTGTCATTAGTGAAAACATTTCTAAGGTATCATTTAATAAGAATATGTGGATTGAAATTAGAAGTAAGAAAGAGATGATCACATTGATGGGATTGTGTTATAGGCCCCCCAGTAGTCAGAAGGAAATTGAGAAGCAATACGTTGAGAGGTCTTAAATATATGTAAGAGTAATAAGATTGTAATAGTAGGGGATTTTAATTTTGCCAACATTGACTGGGACTGCCATAGTGTTAAAGGTTTGGATGGTGAAGAATTTGTTTAATGTGTTCAAGAAATTTTTCTTTATCATTAATCAAACAATACTAGAGAAGGAGCAAAACTTGACCTTTTCTTGGGAAATAAGGCAGGGCAAGTGACTGAAGTGTTAGTAGGGGAACACTTTGGACTAGTGATTATAATACTATTAGTTTTAAAATAGTTATGGAAAGGAATAAGTCTTCCATAAAAGTTAAAGTTCTTAATTGGAGTAAGGCACATTTTAAGGATATGAAACAAGAACTTTCTGAAGTTGATTGGAGTAGACTGTTCACAGGTAAAGGGACGACTGACAAGTCGGAGGCTTTCAAAATTGTGATAACGAGAGTTCAGAGGCATTATGTTCCTGTTAGAGAGAAAGATAAGGCTGGTGAGATTAAGAAATATTGGATGAATAAAGATGTTGAGGTTCTAGTCAAGAATAAGAAAGAATCATAGATAGAGACAACTGGAATCAACTGAATCTCTTGAAGAGTATAAAGGGTCTGGGGGTATTCTTAAGAAGGAAATCAGGAAAGCAAAGAGGGAATATGAGATAGCCTTGACAGATAAAGGTCAAAGATAATCCAAAGAGATTCTACAAATACATTTGGAGCAAGATAGCAACTATAGAGAGAGTAGGATCCCTTAAGGATCAATGAGGTCATCTTTGTGTTGAACCTCAGGAGATGGGAGAGATAGTAAATGAATATTTCACATCAGTTTTTGCTGTTGAGAAAGGAATGGAGGCTAGAAACCTCAAGGAGGTAAATATTGATGTTTTGAAAACAGTTCATATTACAGAAGAGGAAGTGCTGGAGGTCTTAGAAAACATAAAGTTAGATAAATCTCCAGGACCTGATCAAGTGTATCACAGAAAGTTAGGGAGAAAATTGCGGGGCCCCAAGCAGAAATATTTATATCATCTATAACTACAGGTGAGGTATCAGAGGACTGGAGGGTGGCTAATGTTGTGCCATTGTTTAAGAAAGGCTGTAAGGAGAAGCCTAGAAACCATGAGTCTGACATCGGTGGTGGGTAAGTTGTTGGAGATAATTCTGAAAGAAAGGATTTATATGCATTTGGAGAGGCAAGGATTGATTAGGGATAGTCAGCATGGTTTTGTGCAAGGAAAATTGTGTCAGTCAAACTTGAGTTTTTTTAATAAAGTAACCAAAAGGATTGATGAGGGCAAAGGAGTAGACTTTGTTTACTTGGACTTTAGCAAAGCCTTTGAGAAGGTTCCACGCGGTAGAGTAATTAGTAACGTTAGATCACATGGGATTCAAGGTGAGCTTGCCAATTGGATACAAAATTGGCTTTCCCGTTGGAGACAGAAGATGGTGGTGGAGGGTTGTTTTTTGAACTGGAAGCCTGTGACCAGCGGTGTTCCACAGGGATCAGTACTGGGTCCACTTTTGTTTGTCAATTATATAAATGATTTGGATGACAATATAGGAGGCATGATTAGTAAGTTTGAGGATAACATCAAAATTGGTGGTATAGTGGACAGTGAAGAAGATTATCTACGATTACAAAGGGATCTTGATCAATTGAGTCAATGGGTTGAGGAGTGGCAGATAGACTTTAATTTGGAAAAAGGTGAGGTACTGCATTTTGATAATACGAACAAGAACAGGACACAATTAAGCATAGGACCCTGCATAATGTTGTAGAACAGAGAGACCCAGGGGTTCAGGTACACAATTCTTTGACATTTGCGTCACAAGTAGACAGGGTGGTTAAGAAAGTGTTTAGCGCGTTTACCTTCATGGCTCATACCTTTGAGTATAGGAGTTGGGATATCATATTGGGGTTGTATGGGGTGTTGATGAAGCCTGTTCTGGAGTACTGTGTGCAGTACAGGTTGCCTTGTTATAGGAAGAATATTATTAACCTCCTCAAAGAGGGTTCAGAAAGATTTACTAGGATGTTCCCGGCAATGAAAGCTTTAAGATATAAAAGTAGGCTGGAATGGCTGGGACTTTTTCCACTGGAGCATAAGAGGTTGAAGAGTGACTTTATTGAGGTTTGTAAAATTATGAGGGACATAGATAAGGTGAATGACAAGGGTCTTTGCCCTCGGATGAGGGAGTTCAAAACTAGGGGGCATATTTTTAAGGTGAGAGGAGAAAGATTTAAAGAGGACATGAGGGGCAACGTTTTTCCACAGGGTAGTTCATGTGTGGAATGAACTGCCAGAGAAAGTGGTGGGATTCAGGTACAGTTACAATGTTTAAAAGACATTTGGATAAGTTCATGAATAGGAAAGGTTTGGAGGAACATGGGCCAAGCATGGGCAGGTTGGACTAGTTTAGTGTGGGAACATGGTTGATGTAGACTGGTTGGACCAAAGGGTTTTCTTTCATGCTTTGTTTTTCTTTAAGCATTCAACCAAACCAGTTGGGATCCTGTATGACGCTATGACTCCCCCCACCCCTGCAAACTGCAAAGCCCAGGTTTCCTATTCTTTCTCATGCATACAGACATTAATACTTGATTCAAATACCCATTACTGATATGTGAACATGGGATAGAGTCTATTTGACTCTGGAAAGTCTAGCAACTAACTCAAATGCTATCCTATTTCACATCAATATGTGCAAGTTTCAACAATTCACTGAATGGGAATTAGAACTGTTGATTTCCACAACCCTTGCTCTCCCACCCCTCTTAGTATATGGCCAGGGAACACACTGCAGAGTTCTCATTGCAGCCTATCTGATTCAGCAGCGACCAGGAACCAAACCAGTTGGGATGCCGGATAGCTTTGGACCTTTTTATTCAGATGACTAGGGGAAGAAAACTGATTCCCTGTATGTCGGGGATTTAACTGAGTATTTCATTAAGGGCAACATCTGAATATTCTGTATTGCAATGTGCTATGTAATATGAAAATCTCTGTGTAGGTATAAGAGTGGGAATGTTTATGAAGGGGAATGGAAAGGCTTTCAACGCCATGGGGAAGGCACCATGAGTTGGATTTCTACCAATGAAGAATACACAGGGCAGTGGCAAAACGGTTTACAGGTAGGATTTCAAACCGTTAAACTTTCTTTTAGTTGAAGGTGTATGATGTTGTCAACAGAACAAATTATTCTACAGTTTCCATTAAAATGGCCAAGATTTTAACTCCCTCAAAATTCACTTGCACAAAGCAAAACTTGGGCTTGTGGTTTCTCAAATTCCAAATTCTATACAAAAATAGAATGAACTTCTGGAATTGCAGCACATTCAGGAAGGCCTGAGCAATTAGTTTCACTGCATATTGTAACCCAGGTGGATTGGGTGTGTGTGGTCTGAGGTTGGGAATGGTGAAGTTCATCTGTGTGACTTTGGTCCATAATTTATATCTCAGGCCTTAATTTAAATTTGTTCTTCCCATTTTCTTTCAATCATTAATGGGATTTAGAACTGTTGATTTCCCCAAACCTTGCTTTCTCACTCCTCTTAGTACCTGGCCAGGGAACACACTGCAGAGGTCTCATTGCAGCCCTATCTGATTCAGCAGCGACCAAGAACCAAACCAGCTGACATGGTGGCATCACTGGCTGGTCCATCCCTAATTGCGCAGAGGGCAGTTAAGAGTCAACCACATTACTGTGGGTCTGGAGTCACATATAGGCCAGACCAGGTGATGATGGCAAATTTCCTTGCCTAAAAGGCATTAATGAATCTAAAAGACATTTCTTGACAATCAGCAATGGTTTCATGGTTAACATTAAACTCTTATTTCCAGACTATTGTTGAATTCAAATTCTACCATCTACCATGACAGTATTTGAACCCAGGTCTCTAGAATATTATCTGGATTTATAGTTTAGCAATAACACCACTAGGCCATTGCCTATTCCACAGGGGTGAAGCCACTGAGGAGGATCAGTAATTGTACCAGGAATTGGATGCCGTTAGGGTCTAAAGGAGCAAACCTTGATGGAACCTTTGTGATTCTTGTGTAGTAGGGGAAAGCAAGTAACAATTTGGGGCTGCAATCGATCTAATGGCTGATTTAGATTCACTTTGTATCTAATTAAGAAATACTATATCTGCAGTGTTACTGCAGTTATATTATTGAAGAATACTGGAGAAAGCCACAATATACAAGTTTACTTCCAGGCCAGATACTGCACAGGCAGGTATAGAGTAAATCTCCATGTACAAGAGTATGATAATGTGCGCACTATTATTGGCCATGCATGTTGGAACAGGCAAACATTACTAGCAGTAATGAAGAGCCAGTAACTAAGATTTATGTTCCTGTCAATAATTATCAGGTATGCATTGTCAATAACTAACCATAATACATTTTACATTCTCTTAAATGTGTTAATTTGGAGCTTTTACAGTTGACTCCTTTTTTGTTTCAGCATGGATTTGGCACTCACACTTGGTTTCTGAAGCGGGTGCCGGGTAGTCAGTATCCCCAGAGGAACCAATATGTTGGGGAGTTTGTAATGGGAGCCCGGCAAGGGCAAGGCAAATTCTTCTATGCTAATGGAGCAGTATACTCTGGAGAATGGGTGGCAAACAAGAAGCATGGTTTGGTAAGTTGATTCCAATAACTCCTGGCTCCTTTGTTTTTAATTTGCCGTCTCCTTTGCAGCACAATCGTTAGTCTTGGGAAAGCAGCAGCAAAATTTTCTAATAAAAGATCATGAAACATTAACTTTGTTTTTCTCTCCACAGATGCTGCCTGCCCTGCTGAGTATGTCTGGCATTTTCTAGTTTTATTTCAGATTTTGTAGCAAACTTCATATATCATCTTGAAAGTTATTTAGCTTTTTTAAAATTATTTTCCTAAATTAGTAACTAAACATTCTGTGTCCATTTTGATAGAGAAATTTGCTTCTTAAAAGAAACACTTTGGTTGGCCCTTGTAAGATGATAAGACTGAAATACGTCTTTTACTGAAAGATAGCATATTGTCTATTGGTATGGGCCAGACCAGACGCCACCCCAACCCCCTGAACTGTAAGGAGATAGCCTAGACCCTAACATTTACATTTACTTAAAGGCAAGTGTAAGGTGCTGTGTTCCAGATGTGATTCAATTAGTTCATCACTAGGCTTTAATCAAAACACACCATATTCTTACAGCACAATTATGACACACAAGAAAAGAAGAATTGGCATAACTTTAACTGTTGAGCCCTGACACCACCCACTCATGATTTTTTTGTCTCCTTTGAAAAAAGCACCCAGGGAGAACTGAAAAACTCTTAACCAATTGCCCGTCTGAAGGAGACTTTTTGGTACTCCTGTGACAACACCCCTCTGCAAGAGAAACAGCACTGAACACATCTCTATTAAAGGCACAGTGCCGTCACACTGTTTTGTTCAGAAGTTAGAGACCTGGGATCAAAATTGAGAGAATGTGTGAAACATTTGGTTGCTTAAAATGGAATTTCATTATCAGTTTGATACTTATGGGCAAAAACAAGCTTTCTCAGTTCTTCATTCAAAGAGAAATTTCACCCTGAATTCCTTGAAATAGCAGCAATGTTCAAGTCCTCAAATCCCTGAGGGTAGGACATAAATCCAGATTTTCTGCCTTGTAGGGAAGTGTATTACTTCTGAATTAAGGCAGCACCTCATTAATTTAGCCATCAAAGAAGAGTGCAGGAGAGCATGCCAGGAGTAGCACAAAGCATACCTAAAAATGTGATGTCAGTTTGATGTAACGACATGATAGAATCAATTACATGCCAAACAACAGACGCGGCATGTGACAGAGCAATCCCAGAACCAACAGATCAAAGTTGTGTAGTCCTACCCCATTTAGTCATGAGTAACTAAACATTAATGGGGGGGAAAGGCTCCCTGAATATGGCCATCTCAATGGTTGGGAAGCCCAAATCATTGGTCGTAGTGGACGGAAAATATTCAATATGGTGCTCAGTTACGAGTGGTGTACCACAAGGATCTGTTCTGGTCCTCTTCTATTTGTGATTTTTGTAAATGATTTGGATGTAGGGGTGGAAGGATAAGTTTGCGGACAATACGAAGGTGGGTCGAGTTGTGGATAGTGCAGAGGGCTGTTCTAGGTTACAAAGGGACATTGATAGGATGCAGAGCTGGGCTGAGAAGTGGCAGATGGAGTTTAACCCTGAAAAGTGTGAGGTGATTCATTTTGGAAGGACAAACTTGAAAGCAGAATACAGGGTTAACGGAAAGATTCTTGGCAGTGTGGAGGAGCAGAGGGATCTTGGGGTTCATGTCCACAGTTCCTTGAAAGCTGCCACCCAGGTGGATAGAGTTGTTAAGAAGGCATATGGTGTGTTAGCTTTCATTAATAGAGGGATTGAGTTCAAGAGCCATGAAGTTACGCTCCAGCTATACAAAAGCCTGGTTTGGCCACATCTGGAGTATTGTGTCCAGTTCTGGTCGCCTCATTACAGGAAAGATTTGGAAGTGTTGGAAAAGGTGCAGAGGAGGTTGCCTGGAATGGAGGGAAGGTCTTACGAGGAAAGGTTGAGAGAGCTAGGGCTTTTCTCTTTAGAACGATGAAGGCTGAGAGGTGACTTGATAGAGATGTACAAAATGATCAGAGGTATAGATAGAGTCGACAGCCAGAGACTTTTTCCGAGGGTGGAGGTAGCTATTATGAGGGGGCATAGTTTTAAAGTGAGTGGAGGTAGATATAGGAAAGACGTCAGGAGGTAGGTTCTTTACTCAGGGAGTGGTAGGGGCGTGGAATGCATTGCCGGAGAGGGTAGTGGATTCGGCCTCATTAGGGGCATTTAAGCGGCAATTAGATAGACATATGGATGCTGGTAAAAGGTAGGGGTGGAGGTTAGATAGACCTTAGGTGTCGGGTAAAAATTCGGCACAACATCGTGGGCCAAAGGGCCTGTACTGTGCTGTACTGTTCTATGTTCTATGTTCTCTTCATACCTAAAACGTTGCATCCCAAGGCAACATCCAGAAGTAGGCTATGTGCACCATATAGTCTGCTCTGCCATTCAATAAGATCATGGCTGATCAGATATTCTTCAACTCCACTTTCCTACATTATACCCATAACCCTTGAATCCCTTACTCATTAAATAACTGTCCATCTAGGGCTTTAATATACTTAACAACCCAGCCTTGTTTGTCCTGTGCAGAAAAGAATTCCACGGATTTACTCCAGGGCTAAATTAATGAAGTGCTTTATTGACTCACAAAAAAATTATTCCTTATCTCTTAATTTAAAGGGCGACCCCTTATTCTGAGATTATGTCCTCCAGTCGCAGACTCCAGCAAAGGTAAACAACCTCTCCGCCTCTATCCTTTCAGTCTGCCTAAGAATCTTACATGTTTCGATAATGCCTCTTCCCATTCTTCTAAACTCCAATAAGTGCAACCAGTGTACTCAATCTCTCCTCATAAGAAAATCCCTCCATACATAGAAACAACCTAATGAGTCCTCTCTGGACTACTTCCAATCCCAGTATATTTTTCTTTAGATAAGGAGACCACAACTGTTCAGAGTATTCCAGATGTGTTCTGACTTGTGTCTTGTATAGTTGTAGCACGGCCACCCTATTTTTATATTACGTTCCCTTTTAAATAAAGGTCAACAGTTTACTTGCCTTCCCTATTACCTGCTAACCTTGTATGTTAAGTTTTGCAGCTCATGCATGAGGACCTCCAAATTCTCCTGTGCTGCAGCTTTCTGCAGTCTTGTCAGGGCCCAGTTTTTCACCATTTAAATAGTATTCAGTTCTTTAATTCTTCCTGATAAAATGCATAACCTTACCTTTTGCCATATTATATTCTAATTGCTACTCACCTAACCTGTCTACATCATCCTGTGGTCTGTGTCATCCTCACAACTTGCCTTCCCACTTATTTTTGTGTGATTTGCAAACTTGGCTATAGTATACTCACTTCTGTTAGCCAAGTCATCAACATATAGTATACATAATTGTGGTCCCAGCACTGGTCCCTGTGGCACTCCACTAATGGAATCCTAAAAAAAATGCCCACTTTATCGCAACTCTCTGCCTATCAGTTAGCCAATTCACTATTCATGCTAATATACTACCCCCAATGGATTCTATTTAAGGAGCCTCATCTGTTGTACCTTATCAAACACCTTTGGAAATCCAAATATATTACGTCCACTGGTTTCCTTTATCTATCTTGCTTATTAACTCCTCAAAGAATTATACTAAATTTGTCAGGCATCTTTTTCTTAACTGAGATACATCTTTGCTAAGAATCATAATCTTTGTTCCTCAACTATCTTTGCTACTAAACTCCTTTTCCAGTACTTTCCAACTAAGTTTGCCCTCATCCCAATGTAATTACCCTTATTTAAGCTGAGCAAAGTTGCTCATAAACCGAGTTTCTCATTTTCAGACTAAATACTAAATTCTACCATGTTGTGGTGACAGTTGCCTAGGGGATCTTTTATTCTCAGATCATTTGTAAAAACCCATCTCATTATACACATTACCAGATCCAAAATAGCCTGATTCCTGATTGAATCCACAACATATTATTCTAGGAAACGGTTCTAAGTCGTAAATATAGTGTATTATTTTTTTCTCTTAGTTGCATTTGCTGATTTGATTTTCCTAATCTACATGATTGTTAAAGTTACCCATGATTAATAAACTGCCTTGTTTATATGTTCTAATTATCTCCTGATTCGTTATATGTCTCACAGAACAACTACTGTTAGGAGCTCTACAGACTATTCCTACCAACATCTTCTTCCCTTGTTGTATCCTAGATGTGGAGGTGCCAGTGTATTACTGGGGTGGACAAAGTCAGAAGTCACACAACACCAGGTTATAGTGAAGTGGACTTCACCTGACGAAGGAGCAGCTCTCCGAAAGCTTATGATTTCAAATAAACCTGGTGTTGTGTGACTTATGACTTTGTTTTATCCTACTTTGCCCGTGTAGATTCCACATCATCCAATCCTGATCATTTTTTTGCTATCATACTTAATCCATCTCAGACTAACAGATCTGCCCCACCACTCTTCCCTTCCTTCTGGTCCTTTTGAAATGTCACAGAACCCTGAGTATTTAGTTCTTAGCTTTGATCTCCTTGCAACTGTGTCTCTGTAATAACTAAAGTTCTTCCCATTAACCACTATTTGTGACATTAATTCATTATTTTGCTCTGAACTACACATTGAATTAAAGAGCCACAAATTTTGCCCTTTTACCATTCCCTCCTAAGACTTCTGCTATTGCTGTTTTTTAATATTTGTACTGTCTGTCCCTTTCTGTCCCACTCTGGATATCATTATCAAAGCCATTGTCCTGCAATGCCACCATATTTGTTTGCTTAGTAAACCTTCATATCCCCCTCCCAAATGCTAATTAGTCTAAAATCTTCAATATAGTTGTAGTTATTCAGTTTACCAGGTCACTGATCCGAGCACGGTTCAAGTGAAGCCCATCGACTAGAACTCACTTCTATCTAAGTACTGTGGCCACTGATTCATGAACTGAAACCCATTCAATTTTTAAGCTATACATTTAATTCCTTGATTTTATCTACCCTGTGCCAGGTTGCCCATAGTAATACTGAGATTATTATCTTGGAGGTTCTGCTTTACAGTTTAGTTCCAAACTGTCCAAAATATTTCAGGAGAACCTCCTTCCTAGTCCAGTCAATGTCGCTAGTACCAACATTGATGAAGACTGCTGGATCTCTTTCCAAGTTCCTCTCTAGCCTTGAGGAGATGTCCTTAACCTTGGCACTAGGCAGGCAACACAGCCTTTGGACTCAAGCTCATAGCTGCAGAGAACAGTATCTATACAGCCAAGTGATAGCTTAGCCAATGATGAAAGAATAAAATAAAACTCTATCTAAACAATGTATTCTGTATCTAGATAACAGTTCTGCTCTCTTGAAAATTATACTGATCATCTTATGTAAATTTAAACATAAATTGCTGTCTTTCTTGCATTTGCTGAAAGTTTGAAATATGGCAGTAGTTCTGGAAAAATGCATCATTGTTTTCTCCAGACTGATGTGGTCTACTAGATAATTGGTATTCAGTTTAGCAAAAATGTATTTTCAAACTAATTACACCCACATTTTAAATCAGGTTTTCTACCTTTTGTACCATTAGGGGACATTCACGTTGAAGAATGGTCGTACTTTTGAAGGAAAGTTTATTGAAGATCGTATGGTAGAGTTTCCTAAACTTTCAATCACTGGAATGAAGACACCAGACCTTGGTACTATGCAAACCCAATTGCCACTTGACACTGGTAAGAAGCTTTGCAGAGATATCAATCTGCATCATGTGGAAGCGCCAGTTTTCAAAGCATAATGTAAGCACCGCCTGTACCTTCTTTTCCCCCCAACATACTGTTGGTGAGTACTTTGAAAAGAAATTACATTTTGTTATAAACTTGCACCATAATAATGATGGTACAATTACTGCAGTAGCTAACTAACTCGAGTGATGTTGAGAAACCAGTGAAGGATGTTGCAAGCTTTAGGAATGCAAGTTCTGGAGGGTGGGGTGGGTTTACAGCACAGAATTGTTGTATCCTATACCTAGGAGGCTGCAGGGTGATGAGGGTGGGAAGGGGTATGTCAAGAAGCAAAGTGGCTTGGAGCAGTAACAGCAGGAAAATAGTCACACTTGATGGAAAAAATACCAAAACAAAACTAAACCATATAAAATTTAGTTGCAGGTTGAAAAATATTTGTGGGTCTGTCATTAAGGAAAAGTCATCTAACGATGGCTAAATATAATGGGCCTAATTTTAATCCATTCGAAGCCTCTCTACTCACACAGAAATTGGACCCAATATGTTGATTGTGGTCCCCAACTAGTTTCAAAAGAGCTAAAACATAAGTGGAACTACGGAGGTACCTGTATCATCAGGTTTAGCCCCTGGAATGAGTGGAAATAGTGCAATATGACTATGCGTAAACATTGGAAGCTCCCACAATATATAAAAGTTCTTAACATTTGCATACAGATAAATAGAGTTAATAAATGAATTCAAAATCAGTAAAAAGGAATTAAAGTTCAATATTATTTCTATGATAGATAATATCCAAACAGGTGGTTCAAAGGGCATCATTAAATCAGTTCTGGAACGTAACGTGGAACTTGATATTGCTTCACTTTTGGAGGTGATTCCAAAGGAAGACATACAAAATGAGCTAATGCAGGTAAAAATAAATTAAAGCAGAGTTTGAAAAGCAGTACCATTGTTTCAGTACTATTACGGTCTCTAGCAGCCCTTAAACCAGTGATTTGTAGCATTACCATCTCATCGGCCTCAGATCACCAGTCTCCTACTATATAGTCTTCAGACACTGGTTCTAATACCATTTTCTTGTTCTATGCCAAATCCCAAATGCCTACAGCCTGTCTGCCCTGTTTTTTTCTTGTTTTATAGCCTCAACAACCCTTTCTACTCTTTTGGATTCAAAACTTCTCATCTGTTCTTTATGATCCTGACTACTTCTTCTATTCAGGCACTGCACATTGTTTCTCACTCCAGCCTTAGGATAATTCTGCTCTGTTATCTCCACATTCTCTCCTGTCAATTTGCATTTACAATATTTGATCTTTATTTACCACTGGGTAATGATATAACTGTGCATCATATTGGGATCATAGCAACCACTTTGTTAATTCAGAATAATCTGTACATATGAGTGTTTACTCACATACTGTAGATAGCTTTATAAATTATTAATTTGGATGCTTCATAATCAGCCACAGTATTCGAATTATTTATCTGTTTGATATTTATGTAAGTTGGCAGGTATTTTTCCTCTTCCCCCTACATACTTGATTGATCCTAATCTTGTGACAGTTCTTCACTCAATCACTTTCTAGCCCAGTTCCCACTACGCAGCCATGTATTTCTCTGGCCTTCTCATTCCATGCATTAGTCGTGCACCCATTCCTAGCCCCAGTTCTATCCCACCATCTTTCAAGGATTTCTAATCAAACACATTCTAATCAAACACTTTATTAGAATAACATAATATGTGACTTTAAATTTTGATTTTTTGTGCAGTTAGAGTTCGCTACTCTTCGATATTTGTCAGAACTGAGGAAAATATACAGTTTCTACAGTAGCCTCGGACATCAGCAAACACTGGATAATACCTTCTTAATGAGCAAACTGCAGTTCTGGCGCTTTCTGAAAGATTGCAAACTTCACCATTACGCCCTGAGTCTGGCTGACATGGATAGGATCCTTAATGGTAATCAAATGTCCTTTTACTTAGTCGTTCTGCATGATATTACTAATGTGATGTAGCAAGAAAATTGCATCTTCAGCTAGTCAATTTTACTCTTTTAAGAAAGATGGCATTGCTCGTTGGACTTGCATGAAAATGTTCACTCATGCTCAAAATTTATGAGAGAGTGTTGATAGAGTAAATTAGGGGAAAATGTTTCCGTTGATAGGAAGGTCGATAACCAAAGGACACAAATTTAAATTAATTGCCAAAAGAGACAAGGGAGGATGAATGGAATCATGTTTATATGGAAAGTTTATATGATTTGAAACACACCTGTCTGGAAAGATGGTGGGACCAGATTAGTAATTTTCAGAAGGAAATCGAATATTTTCCAGTAAAGGCTTTGTATAAGGCTTGAGATAAGAGTGTAGGGAGAGGCACTAATTGGACAGCTCTTTGAAAATGCTGAATGGCTTCCTATTGTGTTGTATGAATCAATGTCTCTTTCCTAAATTTAGAGTAATGGACAGTCGAGGTAACCAGATAGAAATAATCATTTAGAAATACAGAATTTGAGTATTGTTGAAAAACGACACATTGTTGAAGATTTTCATCTGACACTCATCAGGAAATTTCACAGGAACACAAATTCAAAGCGAAAACCAATGTTTGTACTGCACGAAAGGAGTGTGCTGATTTGGTTGGCAAATGGACTCTGATTGGCAGAGGTATTGCCATGGAAAATACACCCATGGGCTCTCTCTCGCAGATTATTATAGAAGTGAAGTTCTGACCTGTATGTACCTAATATTTAACATATTTAAAGGAAAGATAATATTTGGTATCATACCATATAGCACAAAGCCTGGTAAGGAGCAAGTCAGTATTCTTTTATAGGCAATAGAAGTTTCTTCAGATGATTTCCTCATTGGGCAAGGGATTGATGATGAAGCAGCTACATATGGTGTTGTAATTAAAGCATTTGATGACTATTTCAGTTTTAGAAAATCACCATTGTTATAGAGTCATGCAGACATACACCACAGAAACAGACCCTTTGGTCCAATCAGTCCATGCTGACCATAATCCCAAATTAAACTAGCCACACCTGCCTGCACTTGGCCCGTATACCTCCAAAGACTTCTTATTCATGTACTTATCCAAATGTCTTTTAAACGTTGTAACTGTGCCCACATCCACAATTTCTCTGAAAGTTCATTCCACACACAAACCACTATCTGTGTAAGAAAGTAGTGTTGTCGAGAGCCAAGAGAACACAGGCTCCGGTTATCAGATTGTACAGCGGGGAGAAGAGTCAATTCTCATGACCTCACAAATTACTTCATTAATGTATTAAACAAGACACGTGTTACTTAAACGTTTTTATCACAAAACTAGACCTTATATACTTTTCCACAAACTGAACTAGGACCTACTTATACACCCACTAGAGTCCTCTGACACTCCCCAGATAGATACAGAATATAAAAGCTAATACCTAATCAGGATAGCTGCTGCTGATGACGTGGACTGACACTGGCCGGGCACTGCACTCGATGTCATCACCACGTCCTTGATGAAGGGCCTGCTTCTGCGATGGTTGGTCTCCAGAGTTTTTGCTACCTGCATGCCCTGAGGGTCTTCTTCGTATTTTTTCTCTTATCTCTCTCAAGTCATGTTGTCTTCCTGTTTGCTTGGGCTAATTCACTTATTGCATGCCTTTACCTTATTGGCGCTGACATAGACACTCAGGTAGCATTACCTCATTATTTCTTGTCCAAATAAGGCTTTTGCATTACCTCATCTTTCTTAGTTTTTGCAGAACTTAGTTCATTAAAATGGCTTTAAATTGGCTCAAACTAGCAGCTGGGTGCAGGTCATTTTTAGATTACAAGCTACTTCTTTCTTTGTGTCAGCATCTTTGCATTCAGTACCTCTTGATAGCGATGCCGGTGTCTTGTACCCCTCTCTCTCTCTCTCTCCTTATCTTTCTGCAGCCTCTGACTAATGTCTTCCCAGGCAGCGATGTCAGCAGCTTTCTCTCTCTCTCTCTCTATCTATCTCTCTGCAGTCTCTTGACCCAAAGATACTTATCTTACGATCATTCTCTGTCCTTTTACTGTGGACCACTCCTAGGGTTGTCAGTGTTCTCGAATGAATGTATCACATCTAAGCTGTTATATTGTTATAGTATATATAAAAACGTACATATAAAAAAGTGTGTGTATATGTATATAATATAAAAATGTGCACATAGGAAGGAAAAAAGTGTATATGAAAAACGTGAACATAACTTAACTCACACAGTGTTTCCATAACATTCCTTCTGTTTCATTATCGCCTCCACTTCCAATCTTTGTAAAAATTCATTTTTCCACCTTCTAAGGTGACATTCATTGACTATGATGATTACTAATGTAAATAGAATTACTACTACAGCAGCATACAACAGAATTCAGACCCATGGATGTATTTGAACATTAGTTCCCCAATTCCATAACTATTTCCACAACCAAAGGTCAACAACTTCTTTGCTGTTTCGGCATGAGTTCTAATTATATGTGTTCAGTCTGCGGTCAGGTGTGGAACGGGTGGTAGTTCAGTGGGAACAAATCTCCACACATCTCGGTCTGTATCAGTACATTGGATTGTGAGGTTTTCTTTTATCACCACCCTGGTTATTGGCTGGGGCAGTGCTTGTCCACCAATCATCAAATCAGAGGTCACATTATTAATAGCTAGATTGTGTACTTCCAGCGGACATTTTCTCCATCCCTTGGTATAGTTCGTGGCTATGTAATACATTTCCCCTACAAGGGCATATTGTAGAAAAGACTGGTTATTAACAGGCAGAATGGATAATGAACAGTTTTCATAGGTACTGAAACCACAATCTGTAAGTCTCTGTCTTCTTATCTCGTCAGGACAGGCCCAGTAATCCCCTCCTTGGTGACATTTTGACAAATCTATCCCTTTCTCAGCACCATCTAATACATTGGCATGTGATGTTGGTTACTTAAAGATATCAAAGTACCTTCATTGTACTTTCCCACGTTATGAACTCTTTTTTTAAAGGGTAGGTCACATTATTTTCTTCTCAGGGAATATGAAACACTACCCAACATAATATTTCCCTTTATCATTGTCACAAGTACGCAACGCCCTATGAGTTAAGGTCAAACTTCTGAGGTGACATAGGGGTTCCTTTTCCCCAACCCACTTTATTAATTGTTCATCTGACACCCAGACTGGGACTTGATGAGCATACAGCTGTAACAAATTAGTCCTGATCATCGTCAACACTCAGCTAGAGTATATGGCACATACCTCAGCCTTTTGGGCCTCTTCAGAAGTATTGGCCATAAGATCAATGATTAATTTCATTGTATCCTGTAAAGGGTTTGGAAATTTAACTGTGTCCAGGGTTACTTGTAACGCACCCCAGCCCATCTGGTTGGTTCATATCTGATCCAAGTAACCTTCTCCAGTAATGACTTTTCTGCTGGAGGGATCGTATCTGACTTTCCAATTCTGCTACGTCCAAGGTGTTGATGGTTGCCACTCCTGATGCATATCCTGCCCCTGCCAACTCCAATAATTCTTCTTTCTTTTTATTCTTGTTAGGCGTAAGCTCTCTCCTGCTCAATTGTTCGTCAAGGAGGTGGACAAGTAATTGTTTTGTGGTGGATGGGCACCATTCTGGAGAAATCATTTTGGTTAGATTAAAGACTACCTGGATATGCTGATGTCCTGGTACCAAAGTGACAGATTCTCCTGTCTCTTCTAGCACCAGACCCACAACTTCTGTCCTGTACTGTGATTCACTACATCTAGGTTCTGGTGTGGTTTTAATCACTGGGGGATGTGGGGTAATAAGCTTCTTACGGGTCATGAAAATTATGAAGGGCCCCGGTCCCTGACGTGTGTGCATCTCTCAACGCCCTTTTTTCTCTCCTCCTGTATCATGTCATCCCTTGTACAATTGATGATGATCCAACCAATGTTCTTGAATTGCCTTGAGTAGCCGCCCCAGACAATATATCTTTTATACCTCCAGAACTCTGTTGCATGAGAATTGTACCCCTGTACCTTCCAATATACACAAAATCTTCCCTGCGCATGCCAACCCATCCACTCCCATATAATACAGATTTAAGTCCCCTCTGCTTCCTTTATTAGTTCGTATTATCTTGCGCTGCGGAGCAGAGTCGTTCTTGATCACAGGATATTCTTCCAGCATTGATGCAGCTTGAGGCACATTTACTCATCGTGATGATTCTGATGCCGGCTGTTCTGTAGTTTCAAGCATGATCAGCCCAATAGCGACAAAATGTAATACTCCACTCAACCTAGGTTATTCTGCTCTTATTTACAGTTTCTTTCTTAACACTATTATAAGCCCAGTTTCGCCATTCTCTGAGCCAGATCGTCTGTCCCCTGTACCCAATCTGTTTCAGATTCTAACCGTCCATTTCGCCTGACCCAATTACTACTCTACCCTTTCTCTTTTCCATTTGTCATTTTCCTTGGCTATCCTATATACGTGAACAGCCAACATCAGGTCGCGTTCCAGTTATCTCTTCGGATATCTGTAACCGGTCCTGTTCTTGGTGTCTTTGATCTTGGGAACTTGGAACATCGTTAGCCACAATTGGCATGTGATGCTCAATGCTATCTTGTTTCTCTCGTACTAACTTTAACTGATTGATGTGATACCAGCTACTGTTGCCTGTCGCCGTTAATACCTTGTATATGGATGGACTAGCCCTACCTACTATCTCATAGAGACCAGTGAACTTTGGACTTAAGAATGAGGTGGGCTGGTGTAATCTTATCATTACTCTTTGTCCGTGATTCAATTCTATTGGGCTGGCTTTTGTGTCGAAACAGGCCTTACTTTGCTGCTGCTTCTTCCCTTGGTGGGCTGCTGTGTGATTTGCTTCCTTTACTGTTTCTACCAACTGTTGTACCCATTTTTCAGATATAATATTGTCTACCTCGGGTTCACACAAGTCCAAATC